TATATATAATTTTATCCGTGTAAATTTTTGCTCCCCGGGGGGTTTTTCCAGAGGTTCCTCCGTTAATCCTGTATGTAAATTGCAGCCAATAGATGCTGTTGTTGAGTTGGGCTGGGATTAGCAGGAGGCGAATGAGTTTCAATTTTACTGGATTACAGAACAAAGAAAGGGGAAAGGGACACCCTGCTCTGTTAAGGGAAAAACAGAAATAAACTAAGCAAAAATACACAAATAATAGACATTAAGACGTGCGGTCGAGGTCGTCAGTGCGATGCTCCGGATTACGATGTTTTAGCAGACGGCGCGGCTACATTGTGGATGGGAATTGTGAGCGTTTCTGATGGATTAAAACGGGGGAATAAACCTATTCCGGGATTGACAGCAGCAACAAGGCTATTTAATCGCTAATTAAGGTGAGATTTCGCTGTCTGTTTTCATATTTACGCGGGGTTATGTTGTGTGTTTTCGTGCGGGGCGTCGCTTTTTGTGTGTGTGCGTTGAGAAATTACAGATTATAACCTAATTTCGGAACTGGGGGAGGAGATGAAAGGAAAGTGCTAGCGCTAGCTAGCAAGACGGCTAGCGCTAACGAGTTTAAGCTAGCTAGTCGGCTAGCTCAACGTTATTATGCTATCGTTAGCTAATTAGCCAGCGTTTATTAGTTAGATTTATGTTAAGTTGCGTAGAAAGGGGTGCTGTTAGTTAGCAGTTGATTCGGTCTACGTGGACTCCTCCCTGTAACCTTGCGAGTGGGGTGCTAGCCCTTATTTATGACTGAAATACAGCTGCTTGTTAAATTATCCCCCCATGTAGTGCTATCACTCACTAGAAGGTTACCCAGCTAGTACAACAAAGCCAGCTAGCTAAAACAGCAAACGAGAAAGCAGGCGACACGTTTAAACTTCAGCGAATAATACGAGCACTGCTGATTTATTTCCAGCCTCGTTTCGCTGTAATGCGGTGCAGTAAACTTGCACAAGAAACAAGCAATGCTATTGACAACTATCGATAGTCTCATCTAAAAGTCACAGGGTCGGTCTTTGTCAAACTGTTAAAGCATCGCATAATCGAAGAGACAAACGTAAATAAGACAGAGTATTTAACACGAGTGACTCTGAAGCCAGACAGCATTACAGTGATATTTTGCTCCTCATTTTAATCTCAGCTGTCTGTGCTTGTAGTTTCTACAAGACGCGTTAAAGTTTGAAAAAAAGAGAAAAAAAAAGAAAACAGCTGACTGGAGGAAAACTTTGTCAGCTGGAACTGTCTGGAGACTTGAATTCAAAAGACAAGAAAGAAGAAACCAGATTGCACACACAGTCTCTCTCTCTCTCTCTCTTTTTTTTTCTTTTTTTTTGAAAGAACAGACCTTGATTTTTATTTATTGCACCCATGTCTCATATCCTGTGGTTTCAAGGTTTTTTTTTTTCTCCAGGGTCCAGCTTTCCAAAACAATTCCTTTCCACTCTCCTGTGATGTGAACTTAATTCTGTAGCCAGCTTTTTCCAGAAGCTCTCATCACAACAGACTGCTGCAGCAGACCTGTATGTGCCGTGTAATCTGGCATTTCAATGGGGTTATCCTGTTTGGAATTGTTAAAAGAAGCAATTTGACTATTTAGACCTTCTATTATTATGCTCAAATGGCCTGATGCCTCAAATAGCCCTATAAACTATCAAAACAAGTGCATCCATTGTAAAGCGGTTCCATAAAAATGGACAAAAGAGACTATGATAATGTGCTTGCTTCCTGTTATTCTACATATTTGCTTCTCTTCGTAATACATTAACATCACACTCGGGTTTCAAAGCTGTATAAACATCTAATTTGTCAACCGATATGTAGCTTTAATTTAGTTAAAGGAATATTAATGGCATAATTCTTCACATGTTAAGCTGAATTTTCTGGTTTCTTTGTTTACCGCTGAATGCTGCGTGGCTTTGCAGCAATTAAAAGTCATAACAGCAGCAGTGACGAAACGCTGCGGCCTCAGACAGACACAGGGTGTAAACAGAGAGATTATGTTGTTGTTTGTTGTAATTAAAACTTCGATAATGGCTGTCAAACCACACCCTGACTTACTGTAATCTGTGTGCAAGTATGAAAAAAAGCGTGGCAGTTGTCCTTTTTGGATTTCTTCCTTTTAGAAATGAAATATCCTTCGTGATTGGATGACTAAAAATGCACAATATATAGTGTCAGCTGGTGCATGCTATAGTTCTTGAAGTAGGAAAGAATTCAAGTGTGATTTAGCTCTTCAGTTATGTTAGCAATCCAACTGTTTGCCAGGCCACAAAACAGTGAAACTGAGCAGCCAGTTCTGAACAAAACATTTGTCTTAAAGGCCTTTCATACGTTCCAAACTGGTGTTCTCACTCGTCTTTCCTAATTCGACCTCGTCTGAGGCCTGTGTACTCGCAGACAGGCTGATGGAAATCTATCCAACCCTCTTGTTAGTTTGCTGTACTTCTTATGGCAGGAGAAATTTACCCTAAAGTGCACTAAAGACCCGCAGTGACAGAATTGGGTGTGGTTTCAATTCTATTTTAATTTGGCACTCGAACATGCCGCTTACGCCAGCCTGAATCGATGGCATTGTGCGGCACGTAAACACAATAACGCAAAACGGCGTCATAAACAATACAAATAAAAACTCAATCCGCACTGCTTGTCATGGCTGAATCCAAATGGCAAATCTCTATCGAGCATCAGCGCTTTAAAACTACGAAAACATTAAATCAGAATCACCCCCAGAGACTTACATTGTAAATAAACAAAGTGTCTGTTTACATTCAGATTTACTCACAGTGTGTACTTCCTTAAAGCGTATTGAATGCACTTGTGTCCTCATTAAAAATTAGCAGCACAGTTTCGTGGCGTGTTACCACCACCTGTGGGTCAGTGGATAGTGTTAAACCCTGGAAAAGAATGTGTGTGTCGTGTCACGATATCACCAGGGTTGCATCTCCGCTACCTGCTGCTGTCTGTCAGAGATCTAACGTCACACGACATGCTCGATTGCAGCGCAGCCATTTATTCTGGCTCCGGAAATCTGTGATCTCACCTGATTTTTAGCTTCAGCCTTCAACCTGAGCGCAGGTCTAATGAGCCAGAATAATTGGAAACACCTGTGTGTGTGAACAGGGTGTTTAAAGTCCCAGTGAATTTCCACATCCCGAAAACTCTCACATTATTAGGATGTACGACTAACGGTTGCATTTTGACATATTTCTTCAAACATAATTGAGTTAATCTGCAGGCCTTTATTTGTTCATTGTGAGTGTGTTAGCTCTTTTATCTAGTGCAGTGTTAATAACAGTGACCTCTTGAGCCACAAGTACAATCCCAAAGACGTGTTGATGCATTTACAAGGAGACAGAGCAATGTGGTGGACCAGGTGCAGTCCCTGTAGCCATACTGGGCCATATGAGCACCAACAAGAGCACCTTGTTCAAGGGTAAAATCTCACTGTGGTGCATTCTTAACACTATTTAAACCACCTTAGTCATCATGAAACGTATTATATGTACATTGACCTTCTCAGCAACATTACCTGCTCATCTTGTGTGCATGTGAAGCACGGCAGAGATTTGGGGCTTATGTCGGGTATTGATCTGGAAAGTGTAAATTCTTAAGGCCTTAATAATTGGTGATGTTTTATTTGCCCTTTTTGCTCCGTGTGATAATGTTTTGCCCTTTATGAAAAAGGACGCAATAAAATGGTGACAACAAGCTGTGATAGGTACCTCATTTTTTTTTCTTCTGTTTTATGCGATCATAAATATTTATTCCTGCCACTCTTGTCAGTAAACAGCGTCATCACATTACAGATCGTTTTGGGTCCTCTTAAACTGGATTTATTAAATTCACTTAAA